GGTCACTATGCGTCGGAAGTACCATCCGACTCCATGGTACTTAACAACAACAACATCAGGGCAACAGCTCTGGTTTGGCACCACAGGATCAGCACTGGGCTGCAAACCACAAGGTTGGCAGTTCAAACCTACCAGCTGCTCCATGGAAGAAAGATGAGCTTTTCTGCTTCTGTAAAAATTTAGAGCCACAGAAAGCCTACAGAGGGTTACTATGGGTCAGAACTCACTCGACAGCACTTAACAAGAAGGACAACATAAAGGGGACCAGGAGTCCTAGCAGTGCGGTGGGTTAGGTGTGTGCCTGCTAACCACAAGGTCAGCAGTTCGTGCCTACCAGTCATTCCACAGGAGGAAGAAAGATGAGGCAGTCTGCTCCTGTAGTAAAGACTGACAGTCTTGGAAACCCTCTAAAGGGTCACGTGGCCGTTAGTTGGAATTCACTTGATGGCCATATGAGGGCAACAGTAATACTAGGGAGGGAGGTACTCACTTCTTAGAAGAATCAACTATTTGAGATTCAAAGGGCAGCATTAGTTCAGAAGGCAGGAAGGGATAAGAAAGGAGAAGTGGGAACAGGAAACACAGAAGAATGTAGGATAAGTGATGCTACATTTAGAATTGCGACCAATGCCATAAAACAAAACGTGCATGAATTGTTGAATAGAAAACTGATTAGATCTGTAAACCTTCATTCACCCAATTCACAATAAAACTTCTTTAAGAAAAAGAAAAACAGCTAATAATTTGTCCAAAGACAGCTGAGAGCAACAGCTCCAAAGGCAAAGATTTCTGGCCCTCCAAAACTGGCTCCCCGGAAGTGCCGCAGTCCATCCAGCAGAACGCATAGACCCCGGATGCAAGGCAGGGCGCACTGTTACAGCTCCAAGTGGAGCGGCAAGGTCTCTGCAGTCCCCGGGTTCCTTCCAGGTCTTCACCTAGCTAAAGTTGCTCAGGAATGAACTTTCTTACAGCCTCGGAAATCCTGTGCAGACTCGCTATGGGTCGGAACCGACTCAACAGCACTTAACAACAACAATCAGAGAAGTGGGGAATCCTGATGTAGCGCTGTCGGCTAATGCGTCAGACTGCAAGTCATTCAAGCTCACCAGCTGCTCCTTAAAAACCCTAAACAGGGTCACTATGGGTCAGAATAGACTCGACAGCACTTAACATCATCACCATCATCAGAGAAGTGGAGTCCTGGTGTGGCGTTCTAAGATAAGCACTAGACTGTTAACCGAAAAGTCGGTGGTGCAAACCCTTTATAGTGTCACCACGAGCCAAAACTGACACGAAGACATTAAACTATAATCAAAGAAATGGAAACTGCAGATATAACACTGTCTCACGACGAGTCCTTCAAGTTTCGTGTACTTCCGTTCTCCCAGAATGAAGGGAGACCTTGTTTTCACAGTGACTATATATATATTGAAGGAGCTCTGGTAGCGTAGTGGTTACGAATCGGGCTGCTCCGCAGGAGAAAGATGAGGATTTCAACTCCCGTAAAGATTTACACCCTCGGAAACCCTATACAGGGTCGCTATGGGTCGGAACCGACTCGATGGCACATAACAACAATATTGGTAGGAAACAGCACCCCCCCACCCCTGAGACCCGCGCTGGGCACTCACCTTGCTCGAGACTCATCGACTCTGAAAGACTCAAGTTGGGGCGGCGTAGGGTCGGCCCGCGTCTGGTTTCCAGGCAACCACAGCACGACGACGCCCCGCCCACTTTGCGTTCGAAAGGAGCCACAACACTCTCCACCCATCCTGGACTTTTAAAGGACCCGCCGCTGGTCCCACTCCACTAGTGCACCACGCTATTAAAGGGACCACACTGTTCACCCCGCTAAAACCACTCTCTTTAGAAGGCTCCTTCCCATCCCTCAAGCCCTGGTGACGTACAAGTTAAAATGCTTGTCTGTTAACAGAAAGGTTCTAGTCATTAGCTGAGCCTCCGAAACCCTGTGGTATGAGGCCACTGAGTCGGAATCGATTCCATAGAATCGAGTTTGCATTTGTTTTTTTTGGCTAATTCTTCCTACTCAGTCTACTAAAACCCAATCCAAGACCGTGGGATTGATTCCAGATTCCACCTCACAGCGGCCCTGTAGGACCGAGTAGAAAGAATTGCCTTATAGGGTTTCCAGGCCTGTAAATCTTTACAGAAGTTCACAGCTAGCTCCCTCTTTCTCCCACGATTAGGCTGGTGGGCTGAAACCAAAATCCTTGCAATTAACAGCCCAGTGCTTAACCATGACGCCACCAGGGCTCCTCTACTGCTCACAGCCCACAAAAAAATCAGTATTCTATCCTAGCCCAGAAAGTCGAGTGGCAAGGAATGGATTCTGGAGTTTGGCTGATTGCTGGGCAGCCTCAAAGAGTTTCTTCCACCTGAGACAGAAATCATGCATACAAGTATTCTCCATTGCTGCTGTAACAAATTATCCCAAAAAACATTTTAAAAAGCAACACATAATCGTTACCTGGCTGCTGTTTGAAACCTAATGTGGCTGGTTTCTCCAAGAGCCACCTACACTGCATGGAGGCTAGCTTCCCTTCCTCCATTTGCAAAACCTCTCTGGCCCAGGAAAAAATCTCTGCTTTTAAGAAAGCTTGATTAGATGGTGCCCTCCTGGGTAGCCCAGAATTCTCTCTGCTCCAGAGCCTTAGCTTGATTACTTACACCTGGAGTACTCCCTTTACCAAACAAAATTCTCACAGGTGTCTGGGGACTAGGGCATGATGGTTAGGGTTGTGTTAACTTTGTAAGGTCATGCCTTGTTGTGATTTGGCAGTTAGAACGTAGCCTCATGTGATGTAATCACTCCTATGGCTCTACTATGAGCAGCTAATCAGTTAAGAGCTTCCTTGGGGGGGTGTGGCTTGCTTCCAACACACAATTATGTATATGGGCTTTCTGTGGCTCTCTGGCATTTTGTTCTATCTGGATTGTACATCTGGCTGGCTCTTTGGGTTTGAGCCAGAGGCCTACCATTGTTACAGCATGACTGACAGCCCCAATTTAAATTAGGTATCCCACCTTACGGAAAATAATAAACTTCTTACAGAAAAACTGCGAAGGTCAGACTAACCCAAGGACACCTGAGCAAACAGGATAAAAACTTAGCCCATCCATACAAACAAGATAAGGGTTTCCTGGTGGGTTTACTCCCACTTACAGGATAAGGGTCTGCTGGAATTGTCCACCCCAGGTAACAAGACAAGTCTGTTTGTTTTAACCACTCTGTATTTTTGTATAAAACCGTGTTCCCCTCCTCACTTCAGGGTCAGTGATTTGGGCTTTCGCTGACATTCTGGCCGCCGGCAAAAAACTTTGCTCTTTAAGATTTCAAGTTGAATTCTTTCTGACTCGCACTGCCACAACACCATTTTGCCTTCCAAACCAACGTTCATCTGCTCCTGCAGCTACATGAGTCAGGAGAAACCTCCATTCTGACTTCTGACCATGGATTTGGACCGTTTCCTTAACGTGCTCTGTAGTATATACATATAAAAGCTTCATGCTTTTACTTCTCTAAAGACTCCCGTCTAAGACACCATCCTAGGGAGGCCCACGGTTCTGGCTGCAGCATTTTAGTTCTTATTAAAGAGAATCCTGCAGACTAGTTCAGCAGCACTGAGCCTGTACAGCTGGTGGCAACAATTCCAACTTTCTTGTCTCATTATGTCGAAGGAACTCAGTTTGGGGATTGAAGTGAGGTCTTGCGCAGAGTCAGGGTAGGGGACCATACCTGTCACACCACTCAATATGCCACTGTCTGGACTCCACAGACAGTACTTATGTTTTTTGGCAGAGTTCCAATGGCACAAGACCCCAGGAAAACTATTAGACAAGACCACAGGGATTGCATCTTCAGTAGCACTCAGGGCCAGTGATTAGAATAGCAGAGTAGCCTTCTTGGATGATTATTTTTCTTAAAAGTTAACACTTTATTAGGGTTTAGAACCATGACCTGGAAAGAACTATGAGTTTTAAACTTGTGAAATTAAACCAACACAAATTTAATCATCATGAAAGGCTGAAAGTTGAGACTAAATTACATCCTACCAGAGCAGGGGCCTGGGGGACTTCCCCAGTCCTTATTTTACGATGTGTGTGCACATGCACATGGACACACACACACACACACACACACATACACACTCTCACTCAAATGGGAACAAAAACTGCTGTAAGCAATGTCTCATCTGCTTTGAAAAGGTTCTCAGAATAAAAACTATTTAATGGATCTGGCACTTTTTAAGAAGCAAATTAATTTTAAAACCAACAAAAAAAGTTAGTTACAATGTTGCCTTTTTTTCAAAAGAGTCTGCAACACAGCTATGGTTCTAGAAAATGAGATGGGTGGTCAGTGTTGAGAAAGGACGTCCAAGTTGGCGATGTGTCTCATGGTTGGTCTCCCGTGCGGGCAGTTCCAGGGATGGTCCATCTCGCCCATGTGGCTAATGAGCTTCTTCATCTCACTGGTGTTCAGAGCTGTTCCGATCATCACCTGAGCGAGAGGCCAACGTTGACTGGTTGTTTCTTTTGGACTAGCAACTCTTCAGAAATACTTTTCTCTAAGACCAGGCTGAACAAAATGACAACTCAAAGACAATGTTCCCCACCAAAGTCTTCCTCCAAACACCCACACTCTCAAATCTCCACTCTTCCACTCTTGGTGAGGCATCCCACCCTTGGCTCCTTCAGAGGGGCACTGCCTGGGCGGCCATGAAAACCCACCTGCTTCCTTCCCTGCATCTCCCTGCTTCCACCCCACCTACAATGAGCTCTCCACTCAGCACTCAGCCACTGCTTTCCTCTCCGGCCCTCCCCTCCCTTCCTCCTGAGATAATCACTTGGCATACCTCCCCACCCCCCACCTTTGATGGCACCTGCAGGCTCAGCTAGGACAGAAAGCAGGACCTTGGCACAGGTTCTCCCAGGGTCTGGAACACTTCCCCAGGCCCCTCCCTGTCTCCTGTCCTCCAATTCTGGGTTCTGCTTACATGACTCTCGAATCTCACCCCTGCCTCTGGTTCCCTCCCCCAACCTGTCTCACTGTGTCTCTCAAACCAATGCACAGAGACAATGAGGAAAAAGGGCAGGTGGTGAGGAAACAAGCCTGAGCCCACCAGTCACCATCTTTCTTCCCCGATTACCACACCACCCTCCCATGGCAACCTCAGCCCAGGACAAGGAATGCAGCAGGAAGAAGGCCTGTGAGGCAGTTCACAGAGAAACAGAAGTTAGGCCCAGGGGCTGTGATGGGGCAGGCCTGAGGACTGGACAGAGCCAATTCTGTGTCCTCTAAGGTCACTATGATCCACAATGGACTCAAGGGCAGTGGGTTGGGGTGGGTTTGCCCTTTGTGAAGACCTCCTGCTGTGGAGGGCGGTTCCTTGCAGGCCTTCAGCAGGTGTCTGGTCCTATCTTTCTGCTTAACTGGCTTAGAATTCCCTTAGAACTCACTACACTTGGTTTGCCTCTGTCTTGGATCAAACGCCCCAAGACTTTGCTTTTGCGTCAGGTCTCAGATCAAACGCCCCTTCCTGATCCTGTCTTCACTGTTTACCCAGTACCCCGGTAGTTATTTCCTACCCCAGTACCTTGTTTTCATATCCTCATGGCACTTACCAGTGTCTATAACCATGGTTTGTTTTGGCTCAGGTCTATTTATCCTACAAAATGTAAGCATCAGGCTCAAGGGGCAAGGACCAGTCTTATTCCCTCGCAGCAACACCCAGGACAGCGTGGGGCACGCAGCAAATACAGGAAGGCAGGGTAGCTGGTGTTTTCCACTGCCCGTAAGTCAGGGTTCACTTTCTGTGCATTACTATCACAACAGCACAAGCATAGCTACCACCTGCACAGTACCTGCCTGGGTGCTCCAGAGACCCACGCTGCCTGAAGGGATGCAGCCACACCTTTCAAAAATCCCTAAGGAGTCCTGCTGTGGTGCTGTAGGGTAAGCACTGGACTGCTTGGTCAGTTTAAACCACAAGGTCGGAGTTCAAACTCACCAGCCACTCCTTGGAAACCCTATACTGAGTCACTATGGGTCAGAACTGACTAGACAGCTCTCAGTAACAGCAACAAAAGGTCCTAGAGGAACAGTGTGCACATTATAGGTTAACTGGTGCCCCCAAAAGACGCGCTGAAGTGCTAACCCTGGGACGTGTGCATGGGACCTTGCTGGGGTCTAGGGCCTTTGGTAGCATAGTGGTTACGAATCAGGCTGATAACCTCAAGGTCAGCAGTTTGAAACTACCAGCTGTTCCAAAGGAGAAAGATGAGGCTTTTTGCTCCTGTAAAGATCTGCAGCCTCGGAAACCCTGTGCAGGGTCGCTATGAGTCGGAACCGACTCCACGGCACATAACCACCACCACCATAGTTATGTATGGGCAAACCATTTTATTGTTTGTTCTTAACAATAACAACGGCCTTTGGAGATCTGTTAGCATGAGGTCAAGAGTGCAGGAGGGTGGGTACCAGTCCATAAAGGAGGAAGACAAACAAATGCACCGGGAAGACGCCGGGTGATGCAGGAGGCAGAGACTGGAGCCACGCACCTGTCAGCCAAGGATGGGAGCTCCCTGGAGTGCACATGCCATCAAATGACAGACAGGTCTATCCCGTGAACAAAGTCATCAGGAAGGTATGTACCCATTGGAATATAAAGTTTTGTTGTTTTCTTTTTAAGTGGGGGTTAGGAGTCCCTGGGTGATGCAAGCAGTTAAGCACTTGACTACTAGTCAAAAGGCTAACAGTTTAAACCTACCATGAGGCACCTTAGAAGAAAGGGTTGGCAATCTGGGTCCAAAAGGTCACAGCCCTGCAAACCCTCTGGGGCCTTTCTCTTCTGCACAGAGGGAGGGCATGGCCAAGAGTCAGAGTGGATCAGCAGGAGGAAACGTGCAAAAGAGTTCAGATCATGAAGAATGGAAATAGCCCCCGAAAGGAGGGCCAAGGACTGTCAGCAGCCCCCAGAGGCAAGGACAGAGGCATAGCACAAACTGTCCACCGCTTCCTGAAGGCACCAACCCTGCCAACACCTGACTTCAGACTTCTGGGCCCTGGAACCATGAGGGAGAACACGTCTGTGTCGGAAGCTGCCCAGTTTTTGATGTTTGGCTACGGCAGCTACAGGAAACTGCATAAATAGCTGTGTTAGGAGAAACCCAAGTACCGAGATGGAGTATTCCTTAAGGGAAAAAGAGGAAGATGAATAGTTACGGGCTCAGAGGTGGAAGGTCCAGCATTGTGAGTTCTTTTGCTAGACAGAATGAGAACTCTGGTTCTACAAACAATAGCCTTGGACACTTAACGGAGTCCTGCTGTGGAAACAGAGGTTCAGCACTCACCCAGAGGCACCTTGGAAGAAAGACCTGGTGATCTACATCTGGAAATCCCATGGCGCATGGTTCTACTCTGACAAACTCTGACAAATGGTGTAACTGATGGTGCCTGGGATAGTTAGCTTTTTAAAAAAATTTTCATGGCCTTTAAAAATGTCGACCAAATCGGGAGTTGAATGGAATATGGTGTGTGGCTCCTGAGCTTGTGTGAACCCTCCCGCCCGGGTTCAGACTTATCCTTCCTCTGTACTCACAGACTTCCGGCAGGCTCGGGAGGCGAACATCTGCCGGACACGGGAGGGTCGGCACATAACCCCTGGACAGTCACTCAGCATGAAGACCAGCTCATCAATGTCCTGAGGTCCGAAGGTCCAGTTTTTACTAGTTGGCAAGGAAATCAGCTTAACTCTCTCAGTGACTGGAGCTAAAAGAATAAAATTTGCAGAAGAATCCATTATTTGCAAGACGCAAACAAGGGAGATGATATGAGGGGGACACAGAAGGAAGGTACAAGGGCACAATGTTTTGGGCACAAGTTTTCTGTAAACTTCAAAGTGCTCCCAAAAGAAAGCCTATTTTTTTCAAAAAAAAAAAAAAAAAAAAGCATTTCACTTGAGAAGGTAAAAATGCAAGAGAGGGCAGAAGCAAAGAACTTTTTTGGGGAGAAATCTCTTTCATTTCATAAAATAAAGAGAGTTCAATGTCTATGATGTCAAAGACTGTCCCAGCTCCAGATAAGGGAGAACTCACCATCTTCGTCAATTAGAAAGTCAAAGCCATTCTTCTTGAAAATGTCCAGGTTTTCGATGAGAACAGCTTCACCGACTGCAGTTAAGTCGAGAGGCTGAGGTCTGAAAAGCAGAAAAGCAGCCACTTATGTACTGAAGTCACATGTTTCACAACAAAGTAGAAATCAGTCCAAAAATGCTGTGATACTGTGAATGCAAAAATCTAAACAGATTAATAACCCTTTAGTCAGCTAAGGGTCCTGCCTGCCACACAACTTGTTGGGAATTCCATTTTCTAAGTTCTTTCCAGAAAAAACCAGCTCCAGAAGCAATTTTCTCTTCCTGCCATCTTTTCCCACTGAAACGTCTTGTGCCCTCCTCACAATAAAGGTGACTTGAAAAACTGAGTTAGGCCATCACAGGCCTTTAAAAGCAAAATAAATAGGACTCGTTTTGCTCTCCTGCTCCTTTGCCAGGCATCATCTGTCCATCTATCCATCCGTCTTTCCTCCTGGATTTTAACCATTGAGTCAACTCCAACTCACTGTGGTCCCATGTGGGTCAGAGTAGAACTGCTCCATAGGGGTTTCAATGGCTGCTTTTTTTTTTAAATAATGATTACTTTCTTTTTTTTTTTTTAAATGTTTTATTGTGAATTACATGATAATTTACATGGGAGAACATTAGTTTTACATTCATTCTATCATATATCGTTTCATTGCCTCAATGGCTGCTTTTTTGGATGTAGAATGCCAGGCCTTTCTTCTGAAGTACCTGTAGACGGATCTGAACCACTAACCTTTTGGCTACCAGATGAATGCATTAACTATTTGTACCACTCAGGGATTTCGTTCCAGGATTTACTGAGTGCTTCCTGAGACATACTCTGCTAAAGGCAGTGACATAAAGGTGACCAAACATGGATGGGACTCTGTCCTCTTGGAACAATTAGATCCAGTGGGGAAGGAGGACTGCGAGTGATGAATGCCCCAACACAGAGCTTCTAGCCACAGTCTTTGAAACTCCCACCAAATGACTGGGTTGTTGCTGTTAAGTGATGTTGAGTCAGTTTTGACTCATAGCATCTCTGTGTAGGGTTTCTATGGTTGTAAATCTTTGCAGGAACAGAAAGCCTCATCCTTCTCCAGAAGAGCAGCTGGAGGACTTGAACTGTTGACCTGAAGTTAGCAGTCCAGTGCTTATCACTGAGCCACCTTGCTCTTAATGACTGGGTATGCAAATGTGCTTATGGCCCACCAAAGGGGATTGGATAGCTTGCTAATAATGTAAATAGGGTACATGGATCGCTTGTTGAGTGGGACCATGCAAATACCGTGTATGGAACCCTAAGGTGGGGACTGGTCACTTTGCCATTCTGCTAGGCTTACAATGAGACCACCCAGAGGTGGAAAAAGGGATGTCATTGTCATCAGGAAGGAAGAGGCAGGAGTGGAATGCATCTTTTGGACTCAAGATCCCTGTGCTGAACCTCCCTGATCCAGAAAGACAGCTGTAACACCACAGATGGTGAGAAGCAGCAGAGATAGCAGAACCAGGACCACCAGATGGAGCTATGGGTTTTGCAGCCCGTGGGGCAAGACAGAAAGCTGAGTGTCTTCAGGCAGCTTGCTAACAGAGGATGGGGGGTGGGGGTGGGGACGCTGGGTTTGCAAAACTACTAAGCTAAATGCTTACTGGTGGAACAGGGTTCTCAACAGCACTAAAAGAGCTTTGTAACACTTGCCCAAGAAAGCAGGGCAGAGGCCAAGGGGCCACATGGATGGGAGGCCAAGAGATTGTCTGGTTAACCAGTGATGAATATTTTTTAATAGCTTAAGAAGCTTTAATACTTTAATACATTAGCTATGTAACCTTGAGCAAAGTCTTGCTCAAGAACTTTGTGTGTGCCTCACTCTTGCCACCAATAAAATGAGAATGGTGAGAGTAACTACCCCAGAGGTTTGTAAGGACTGAATGAATTAGCAGATGCAAATTGCTTCAACAGTGCCTGGCACATAGTAAGCACTCACTAAAAGGTAGTTCTGGTGTGACGCTCTACAGGGGCACTATGAGTCAGAACTGAGCCGATGGCACTTCACAACAACTTAACTATAGAATAGAATGCCACTCAGAGCAAGACAAAAACCATTATAGAGACACAGGTATGAATGACTAGATGTTAAGCTTGGGAAGTGCAACAATCATTCTGGACCCTGAGGTGGACTCACGCGATGAGCCGCTGGCCCTGGAGCACAGTGTGCTGTTGCAGTATCTCGAAGTTGTACTTCTCATCTGTGGCGTGCTGGTCCACTATGAAGATATCCGAGTGCAGTTTGGTTATTATAAATCCCAAGTTGAACTGACCAATGATTTCCATTTCTGCAAACATCGCTTTACTGTGGGCAGAGAATATACGAGTTACAAGACATTTTAAGAGATTATTTTTCTGTTTAAAATTTCTACTTTCTCAATGTTTTATTGTGAATTGAGTGAAGATTTACACTTAGCCCACTTCCTCCCCATGGTTCATGTTTCCATTCCACTTTCCTTCACAACCCTTCTGAACTGTGTCCTTAGGTTGCAAACACTGCTGCCGTTGTGATCTTGAGTGCTTGACCTTTCCATGGTGAGTAGGTCTTACTAGTGTTGTTGTCCCCCCAGATACACTTACCGACTGCTTGGCTTATCTATGCTAAACACTGGACTGTGAGACAGGAGATCTGTGGTTTGAGCTAACCAGCACTCCATGGGAACAAGATGAGGCTTTCTGCTCCCACAAAGATTTAAAGCTTCAGAAGCTCTATAAAGGGTCGTTATGAATAGGAACCAACTCAATGGCACTTAACAACTACTTGGCTGAAAATTGAGCCATGAAAGCAAGTTCAGTTCCAGACCTGGAGGGTGGTGTCGAGGGCCACAGTCTCAGATGCCCCCAGTCTCTTTCTGACCAGTAAGCCTAGTCTTTGGTAGTGATAGCCGGGCAACGTCTAGTTTTTCGGGTCTCAGGGTCATGGAGACTGATGTTCACATGTCCCACTGGACTGATTCCAAGTCTCTTCAATTCTTATCACTCTTCTTCCTTTCACACATATAGCTGCACCACAGATGTCCACTCTTGGGCTTCTAGGTTCCAGATGCTACTCACCCAAGCAGGATATAGAACATTGTCTCTGTGACTATATTATGCCAACTGAGCACAGTGTCCCCTGAGACTAAGGTCCTGAGCCCCCAGCCTCAAGGTGTTTGGTAATGTCTAAGAAGTTATTTTTCTGATGATGAAACACAACACTGTAATAAAAAAATCAGATAACTTAAAAGATAGAAGTTCCTAATAATCCCACTTTCTAAACAAGCAGTAACTCTTCATCCATTTGTCCAACTTTCCAGAGATGACGTTGTTAGATATCATCAAGTCTGTTCAACTCCTGCTCAACCTGATGTACAGCAGAATGAAATGGTACCCAGTCCTGTGTCATCCCCACAATCTTTCCTAGGTTCAAGCCCACTGCCGCATCCACGGTACCAATCCATCTTGTTGGATAACAACATGCCCAAAGTCTGTGAGATGGAGTTCCACAATCCTGGCTTCTAAGGAACAGTCTGGCTATACTTCTTCTAACACAAATACAGTCATTCTTCTGGCAGTCCATATTCAATATTCTTTGCCAACATCATAATTAAAATGCATTAATTCCTCACCAGTTTTCTTTATTTGTTGTTCAACTTTTGCATGCATGTGAGGTGATTAAAAATACCATGGCTTAGGTCACATGTACCTTTGTCCTCAAAGTGATATAACATTGTTGTTAAGTGTTGTCAAGTTGTTTCCAACTCATAATGACCCTGTATAGGGGTCCCAAGGAGCAGCTAGGTGGGTTTGAACTTGTGGTTAGCAGTCCGGTGCTTACCCTACAGCACCACACCAAGATATAACATTAGCTAGTCATACTACCAAACAGGGGCATATCCTTCTAAGGAGGCCTGGTAGTACAGCAGTTAAGCACTCAGTAGCTCGGCAGGAGAAAGACCTGGCAATTTATTCCTGTAAAGATTAGAGCCTAGAAAACTCTATGGGTCAGGTCTATCCTGTCACATGGGGTCAGAATCAACCCAGAGGTACTTACCCAAAAGACGATTATTATCACAAATCATTGTGTATTCTCCCAGACCTTTGTCTACGTATTTAAAACAATAATAAACAATTTAAACAAAACTGAACCAAATGGTCAACAATTACTTTAAAATAAAGAAGAGAGTGCAAGTGAGCAGGGAAATTAGATCAATGGAAAACCAACAGCCTGAAAGGAAATATGGAGTCTAATGAAAACTATAACCAGGGCCACTGAACAACATATGTCAAAATGGTTGGATGGGACCCAAAACTGCTGTGTAAATCTTCACTGAACACACAATAGAGTACTACCTTTTTAAAAAAGGAATCATATTATTCACACCATTCTGTTTTTGTCACCGACAATACACCGTTACATATTTTTTCAGATCCGTACATACACAGGCATACCCGGGACACATTCTAGATCGCTGCAATGAGTGACCTAGAAGTGACTATCGCAATAAAGTGAGTCCCACGAATGTTTGGAACCTTCTGGTGTGTGAGTTAAAGTCCAATCAGGAAACAAAAAACAAACTAGTTATATGAACAAAGAAAGTTTACGATAAAGTATTTAAACTAGTAAAAAGGGGTGTACGACTAAATGAAGAAATACGAGTCATTCAGGGCATGGGCCCAGAGAGGGAACCCTTTACCAAAGCTAAGACTCAGACCCTGTGAGAGTGGAGGGTGGCAGGGAAGTCCTCTGGGGGCTGACAACACGACGCAATTAGTGATAGTGCCCTCTGAGGCAGCTGTACTACGGCGCCACCCTGCAGTGCCCTCTACTGACAGAGTCTGGCATTACACCAGGAGAAATGTTTGGTGGTCCACGTGGGTGAAGCTGGGTGAATCTGGAGCAGAGAAGCAATACACTGGTGATGGTGATGGATGCCAACCGTTGACTCTGACTCAAATTGACTCCAAGTGACCAAGTATAACTGACCCACAGGATTTTCTAGGCTGTCACCTAATCGGGGCAAGTGTGCTAGGGCTCCTGGACTTCTGGGAAGTAACTCCCTACTGCACACTCAACAGTGGACAGCTGGTTTAGCAAGTGAGGAAGAAGCACAACATAACAACGTCATGGATTTCGCTGTAATCTGAAATGCAGATATGTGAACAACCAGGATCAGATAAACACTACTTCACAGGATCTCCATTCTACCTGACCTTTCACTTCTAATGTGTTTCTCGGGCAAAAGTCAACCAGACTTTTCCTGGCCGGCAGGAGAGCAGGGGCAACCCAACAACTGTGGACTGGCCTTCTCAGAGTAGCCATCTAGTGGTGGACTCATCAAAATGCAGATTCCTGGGAAGCTACCAAAGGCTCTTTTCTTTTTTAATTGTGGAAAAATATACATAAAATTTGTCATTTAAAACATTTTCAAACGCACAATTCAGTGGAACTCCTTCCAGATGGTATAACTATCCCCACTAGTTTGTTCATCATCCCAAAAAGAAACTTTGTACTTCATAAGCAGTAACTCCCATTTATTTCTCCCTCACCTCCAGCTTCTTCTCCCTGTCTAGCTACTAGTAACCGCCAATCTATAGTTCTTCTCTAGGCTTTCGCCAGTTCTAAATATTTTCCATAAACGGAACCAGAAAATACGTATCCTTTTGTGTCTCACTTCTTTCATTAAGTATCATGTTTTCAAGGTTCATTCAAGTTGGAACAGGTATCAGAACTTCATTTCCTTTATGATTGAATACTATTCCATTGTATGGATTGTTGCTGTTATATGCCGTTGAGTTGGTTCCAACTCATAGTAACCTTGCGCGGTGTTTCGGAGGCTGCAAATACTTACAGGAGTAGAAAGCTTTATTTTTCTCTCACAGAGTGGCTGGTCGGTTCAAACTGCTGAGCTTTCAGTTAGCAGCTCCAGCGTTAACTCACTCCACCACCAGGGCTCCTCAGTGTATGGACAGACCACAGTTATCGGTTCATCTGCTGAAGGACACTCGGGGAGTTTTTCTACCTTGGGTGTTTTCCATCTTTTGGTTCTTGTGGTAAGTGCTGCTGTGAACATTGGGGGACAGAGGCTCTACATTTTTAAGACTCCTGAAGTAATTCTTATGGATACCAAACTTTGCAAACTATGCTAGGATTTTTCAAGCAGCATTTGTTGAACTAAAGTATTAAAATAAAATCACCTTTACTCTCACTTCGTGAGTTTAAAGGAATCCAAAGATAAAAGAAAGCTCGTTATGAATTTGGGGTCCCTTATGTCTTCTGGAGTCCTGCTGTGGCGCTGTGGGTTAATGCGCCAAACTGCAAAGTCGGCGGTTCAAACTCACCAGCTACTCCTCAGAAACCCTATGCTATGGGTCGGAATCGACTCGATGGCACTTAACAACAATAACAAATCATGTCTTCCCTATTAACTGCCTAATTCCCATGACTGTGTGTGTGATGGGAATGGGCCTGGCTCACAATTTCCACATCACACCCAAAGAAATCACCTCCATTATCTTCAGGCAGAGCTTGTTTTTTGTGAGTGTGCTTGGCTTCATTGCACTTGGCAGACACTGGGTTTTCACAAATGGAAGGTTTGTGGCCATGCTGCGTCCAGCTAGGCTATTGGCTCTGCTTGCTCCCGATGTGTGCCCACTCCATGTCTCTGGGCCCTGTGTTGGTGGTTCTCACCACAGTCCACACGCTGTCTCCGTGCTCCTACACACTTTGCAGACGGCAGCCTAGTACCATCTCTCTCAGATGCACCGCTGTGAAGTGCCGTCGAGTTGGTTCCGACTCACAGCGACCCTATACAAGGAGCGGCGGGTGGGTTTGAACTGTCCATTTTGTGGCTAGCAGTCCACTGCTGATCCTACAGTGCCACACAGGACTCCTAGGAAACCTAAAAGTCCGTGTGACTCACTTTACTGTGGTATTCCATTTGTCGCAGTGGTCTGGGACCCAGCCTGCAGTATCACTGAGGGCTGCCAGGACAGACTTTTTTTTTATTGTGCACTGAGTGATAGTTTCCGTGGGAGAACATTGGTTTTACACCATCGCTTCATTGCAATGGTTACAATCTCCTCTGTGTAACAGTTGTATTCCCTCTGTTTTTTGGGGGGTTAGGGGTAGGGAGAGGTACACAAAAACACTCAGGAATATATAATAATTTAAACAACCAAAGGACACATTCTGAAAGCCTGCCTCCTGGCCACCAGCACTCAGTCCCTCTCTTTCCATGAGTCCAGAGTCCTCAGCTGCTCTCTCTCTCCATTGGACACACTTTTTAAAGGGAGAATTCCCTGGAAACTTTTCTCAGTATAAATCAGGTAAGAGATATCTAAGGGGGTTACCTAAGGGGGGGAAAGGAAGGGGGAGAGAGGCTCACTGTTTGGGGGACACTGAGATGCTGGGTTGTGAGTTAACACGCTGGAATACAAAGTCTGTTGGAACTGCATGAGAAGGAAGGGAACATTTGGAAACAGATACAGGTGACAGCTGCACAACATGATGAACCTAATGAATGTCACTGAATTGTATAAGCAGAGAGTGTGAAGAAGGCAAATGACTTGCTACCTAATATATCTGCTGCTGTTGCTGCAAAAAATATGTAACACTTAGTAAAGACTGTGTCATATCAGCTGGGAAAGAGCTATGTGGTAAAGACTAAAAGATGCCCAAAAATTCAGTGTAGTTATTTAGTTTTCTGTGTACAGAGTACATCTTAGCAACAAATGAGGCAAAATAAACACAAGAAGTTAACAAAGAGAAAGTTCATATTCTAAGTGAATTCAACCATGTTAAAAAAAAAATCACAATGCTGAACACCTTTGTCAGAAAAACAGAAGTAGCATTATGAATGCAATCAGTGCCACGTAAAATTGACTAGAGGGGAAAATTTTACATAATAAATACTTTACTACAGGTGGCACAATGATGAAGCCCTCGGGACCTAACAGAAAGGTTCCTAGTGTGAACCCACCAACCACTCCCTGGAGATCACAGCCTCAGAAGCCATAGGTCTACTTTGTCAGAATCACTCAACAGCAGACATTTTATTACAATCATCTTTTTTTTTTTAATGAAAAAGAATCATAGTTCTGAGCTTCCTGGCAGTCAAGTCAAAAAGGGAAATAGGAACTGAGTTCTTACTGACTTGTTAATTATCACGATTTTTTGTTAAACTGACTCTCTTTTACACCTAGCCTCCTAGGCAAGGAAGGTTCTTACAAGTAAAGGTTTGACAGTGTGTGACTATGACAGTGTGTAATTTTTCTAACACACTGAAATGAACAAATGGGAAGCAACAATGTATTTCCAAGCTGCCCCACTTCAGAGCAGGTTGAAGTCACAGGGAGATTAGAATCCTTTAGGAAGAGAGATCAATGGGTCAAATTAGCATTTGAACTGATGAGAAGGAAATGGGAAGGACATTTAAGGAAAAATTCTTGGAAGTTTTCAATCAGCAGTATAGCATGTGGCAAGGACTCTTTAAAGGATATTAAAATGACAGACATGTCCCTGGCGTGATACATAATGGTTAAGCACTGGTCAGCCAACTGAAAGGTTAGAAGTTCAAATCCACCTAGAGGTGTACTGGAAGAAAGGCCTGGGGATCTAATTCCAAACATGGATACTGAAAACCAACAGAGCACAGTTCTTCTCTGACACATGTGGATTTGCCATGAACTGGAGTCAACACAGTGGTAATTGGTGTTTTCATGAGATGGACATGAGAGGCAATGTAAACATGCTGGTTAAGGCAAAAGATAACGCCAAGGAAGCGCTGGTATGGCTATCAACCAATGTGCAGAGTCAAAATTGACTCCAAAGGTAGAATGTGCATGAGGGCTCTATAAGAAGGGAGGGAAAGAGATGCTGGCGAGTCTGGGTGCAGGGAAGGCGCCCGGAGGGCTGTCTTCTCAGTAGCAGAAGCTGATGCCACACGCATGTGCAGCCAAAAATGGAGATGTGCCGCACACCCCTCTGTGTAAAAGCAGGAATGACAAGAGCCAAAAAGACACCCCACTGATGTCATGTTGATTCCAACTCAGAGGAACCCTGTAGAAAGGAGAAGAGCTGCCCCATAGGGTTTCCAAGGCTGGCACCTTTTTGGCTCTTGACGGAAGTAGACTGCCTCACCTTCCCCCCGTAGAGTGGCTGGGAGGGGGGTGGGGGGGTTCGAAGTGCCTACTTTCCTGTCAGCAGTCAAGCGATTAACCACTGTGCCACCAGGGCACCTCAAAAACAACAGCGCAACAAAACCCAAGTCTTGAGGACCCTCAGCTCCCACAAAGCAGCCAAGCACTCAGAAGAAAAACTTTACCTGATCTCCTTTCGTAGCTCATCTTCTGCGGCTTGATTTTCTCCAGGGCAGATCTTTGCCCTGAATTTCCTATAATCTTGTTTGTCTTCTCTTCGCTGTCCTTCTTCATGTAACCGCTTTATCCGCTTCACTAACGAGCTCATGGAGAAGTCCAGAGGCACAATTTTCTTCTTAATCTTGACGGCAACATCAACCTGAGACACTGAACTGTTCTGATTCATCAACTTTTGAGGGATGTCACAATTTGAAGGAATTTCTCCTTTTTTATATCGCTTTATGTTTGAGAATGAGGTACTAGTGGACTGAGGCAGAAGTTTAGATTTAGACCCAATAGCTTCCTGGTCTATGTGGCCTTCCACGTGTGAAGAAGGACAGGCCAGTTCAGGTGACTTCCCACAGGATTCAACTGTTTCTTGTGAAACTCTGTCTTCTGGGGAGCTAGCTGCCTGGTCGCTGCTAAAGTGACCGCCAGTCTCTGGAGTGCTGTCCCCCGCCTCTGAGCCCACTGAAGTGCTGCTGTACCCCAAATCCTTCTCCATCTCCCCTTTGTCCCTGCGATCGCAGACGCCCTCATCCTGAGGGCCACATACACCCCTGCCAGAGACAGGCTTCGGAGGCTGCAGGGGGTCTGACGTGCTGGGATACGGTGTCTGTGTTCTTGGCCCAGGAACTCCCACTCTCAGTTCAGGAGTCTTCAAGCTCTGAGGCCGGTACCCTGATGGCTGATGAAGAGAAAAGGCCTCTCTCAGTCTGGAAACGGTCACTGCCTGTTTCTCTTCTCCTCGAGTCCGGAACAAAGCAGGGTTCTCCTGCTTCTCTGGCAGAGGCTTTTCCACGTCTGCTGAGGGCATTTTCATGATGTTCCCTGAGTAGATACGAGCGAAGAAGAGGATGAGGGACTGAAGTGCAGAGCACCCATAAAGGTAACAACATAGGCGAATAAAAGACACAACAGTTAAGTGCCTGACTACAAACCAAAAGATGGTGGTTCAAACCCACCTCAGAGGCTTCTTAGGAGCTTCCTCAAAAAGCTAGAACTGGAACTCCCTCGGATCCAGCAACCCCATTCTTAGTTCATGAATAGACGGACACAGACCCATGCTCACTGCAGCACTATTTGTGATAGCACAAGATGGAAACAACCTCAATGCTCATCATCAACCAATGAATGGATAAACTGCAGTGCAGACATACAATGGAATATTAGGAAACTATAAAGAGTAACAGTGAGTCCACAAAACAAGCACAAATTTGGAGAACACCATGCTGAGTGAAATAAATCCATCACAAATGGATAAATATCATGTGTTTCTTCCACTGTGATACAAAGTCAAGAAGAGACATACACATACAAAGCAGTGTACTTAGACGGTTACCAGGGATGGGAGGGGAAGGAAGAAGAATCACTTTCTGGACTGTAGACATGTGTTACTTTTGGTGATGGGAAAGTAAAGACGAACCAGGTGAATCTGCACAACTTGACCAAGGTAACTGAAGACAATAGTAAGTACCATCATATTTTTATACAAATAATGATGATGTCATGTATATGTATTTTTCCAACTACGCCTTCCTCCAATAGGGTTCTGTAAGCATGCTTAAGCATAGTGGTGGTTGTTAAATGCCATATAGTGGATTCCAACTCACAGAGACCCTCTATAGGGCTTTTAAAATCTTTGCATGAGCAGAAAGCCTCATCTTTCTCCAGCAGAGTGTAGGTGGGCTTGAACCACTGACCTTGTAGTTTATACTCAAGTGCTTATCCTTATAGGAGGATGTGACTGACAAAAGAAAAAAAAAAAAAAGTATAACGTGCATGAAACTTGCATAAAAATATGGAGTTTTGTAGGATCAGCAGCAGACTGCGAGCCACAAGGTCGATGGTTCAAACCCACCAGCTGTTCCTCGGAAACCCTATACAGGGCTGCTAAGAGTTGGAACTGACTTGACAGCTCATAACAATAAACAAGAAATGCTTTAACATATATAATATTGCAACAACAGCAATTACCAACCAAAAAATGTATGTGATTACATTGAAGTGTATGTTGTTGTAAAACACCAGCGAGTTGGTTCTGACTCATAGCGACCCTGTACCGTGTTTCTGAGGAGCAGCTGGTGGGTTTGACCGCTGACCTTGTAGTCTGCAGCCAGCCCAGTGCCGACCCTACAGCACCACACCAGGAGTTCATGTTTATAGGAAGGATATGTGGATGCATGTGCATGCATGTTTAGGTGGTGGTGTTCAGTGCTGTCGAGTCGCTTCTGACTCATACCAATCTTGTCTATGGTTTCTGAGGAGCAGCTGGTGACCTTGCAGTCCAGCGCATTAACCCACAGCGCCACACCAGGACTCCACATATATGTTTATATTCAGTCCTGGTATGGCACTGTAGGCTAATGCGTCAGCCTGCAAAGTCATTTGAACTGCAAAGTCAGTGGTTCAAGCTCACCTGCTGCTCCTTGGAAACCCTATACAGGGTCGCTATGGGTCGGACTCAACTCAATGGCACTTAACAACAACAACAATACATAATAAGGCAAGGAGCTCTGGTAGCGTAGTGGTATTACAAGTCAGGCTGCTAACCTCAAAGCCAGCAGTTCGAAATTACCAGTGGTTCCATGGGAGAAAGATCAGGCCTTCTGTTCCTGTAAAGAGTTTTTAGGCTCAGAAAGCCTACACAGGGTCGCTATGAGTGGGAACTGAGCCATGGCACACAGCCACCAGCACCATATAATAATACAATACAGCACACGCGGGCATAGCTACAGCTACAGCTGACTTCTTAGATCCAAAAACCCGACAGGATTGATTTACTGGATTAAAAGGCTTAAGACCATAGTCTTGTGGTATAACTTAGTCAATGGGCAGAACAAGTTTGTAAAGTTAATGTTCTGCACCCTAGTTTGGTGAGTTGCGTCAGAGATCTCTATTTCATTATCTTTTAATTCCATTTTCCACGAACTTTTTGAAGCCCTTCTGTACTATGGTGAAACTTGTGAGAGTTGGGACCTGTGTAAGACAGAAACCTGCTAGAGAAGGAAAACAATATGTTGCACAAAACTGAGCAAAATTAGGGTGGCAAGACCGCACCATGTCAACGGTGGAAAACCCGGGAGAGCTGACATTAGGCAGTCATGCCGCATTCTGGCACTGACAGGTCCCACTGGATTTGGTTTAAAGACTTCACGGGACACTTTTGTTTAAGATTTTAAGGTCTAAACCATTATGATTCCAGAAGTCTGGATTCCATAAGCACTTGAATTTCTGTCATACATTCCCCACCCACCCCTTTTGATCAGGATTCTTCTATAGAATCTTTCATCTAGAAGTTCAGGGGTGCTAGCTGCCACCATACAGTTGTGGTCTCATAGCAAAGGAGGCAGTTGTTCATGGGGACAATGAGCCACACACTCTGACTCCTCCTCCTCTTCCTGACCCTCCTGCTTCTGTTCCTCCAAGTGAATAATTGCTATCCTAAGAGTCCTCTTTGAAAACACATTACCTTAAATCAGCAGCTATAGACTGTCTAGTATGACACACCGTCTCTGTGCAAAAGAAGAGCTTTTGTTCCACGTGGAAATGCTTTACCTTGGAAAATATGAGGAAAGTATCACAAAAGCTAAAACTTACAGAAGCTGTTTAAATACTTGTGTTTTTCTCACCTTCAACATTTAACAGTAGCTGCTGATTGACATTAAGTTTGTGTGCGTCACTATCAAACATTCCGACCAAAGAAGTCTTCAAAATTGCCAACAAAAGCTTCTCCTCCTGTAGTAAAAGTTGCCTTTTATCCGGAGTAACATTAATATCAACACATTCTAAGACCAAAAAGAAAAGACACTGTTATGTTTAAATCAACAATAGATATTGTTCCATGCTGTGGTTCCGTAGGATAAGCAATGGACTGAGAACCATAAGATTGGTGGTTCAAGCCCATCAGCCACTCTATGGGCTAAAGATGAGGCTTTCTACTCACACAAAGATTTACAGCCTCAGAAACCCTACACAAGGTTTCTATGAGTTGGGACCAACTCAATGGCACAACAACATCAAAAGTACTATAAAAAATATTACAGCATCCAGATTAATAGCCATAAACTATAAAATTAGCCTTCAAATAAACAAGGAAATGATGGACAATTTTTTAAACGGGCAAAATACCTAAGGATTTAAGTGGGTGAATTATAAAAGAAAAAGAACAAACACAAGAGGGCTTCAAAAAGTTCTTGGAAAAAATCCATTTGTCTGTTCATTCCATTTTACCAATGACCTCTTGAACATAAAAACACATGCTAAAACGGCGAACTAAAATGAAAGACCATTTACCACCCTTGAATTTGATGTAAAAATTATAATACCTAAATACATTGTTGTAGATGTGTAAGCTGTTATGTGTCTAGACTATAGAAAAAAATCTTGAAAATGGAATCTACCAACGTGTTAATTCAACTAGAAATTTGCCTTAAGGAGATAATCAAAAATAGAGAAGGAATTAAGGATAAGAACGGTATTTATACTTTCAAAGAACTGAAAATTTAAATATCCCAAAACAGGTTAATTTAAAAATCAAGTTTTATATACCATTATATTGCACACAATGGAATATTATGTAGCTATTAAAACGTTTCTGAGCCATTTTGAGCAACAGAGAAAAAGAAAATGTTTTATCTAAGGACAAAGGGGAATCACTCAGAATTACTTTCTCACCTGGAAGGATACTGAGGGTGGGAGTGTTTCCTTAGAGATGCAATATGCTCAAGAGGGAATTTAGTTTAAGAGTGTGTGGGGTCACCCAGGTCACATCTAGGCAAGTGGTCGGGTCCCATCAGAGCAAACCCCCTTCTAAGACTAAGACTAAAGGGAATACACGCTCCGATTGCTGACCATGTTCGTCACTGATAAGGGGAAGTGAGGGAAAAACAGCAATGAAGCTGCGAGCTAAGCCCTATAACATTCAATAGACTCCTGTGAACCCAGGTGGACACCTGGTTGGCCAGCAGTGTGGCAAGACCTTGACTCTTAGGCCCAGAGTCAGTGAAATAGCCACAGAGGACTAGAGTAGAGAGTAGGGCATCCAGCTAATAAGAGAGGGCATATGCACAAGAACACCCACACTTGCAGATAATACCCACTTGATCTGGCTTCAATGACTGGATGATCAGAGCTCAATTAGAAGAAGAAAGAAGAGGAAAAAAAGAGTAATCTGATACAATTTAATGAAAATGACCTACACCTATGGATGCAGTAGCTCAAAATAAGGAATAAATCTTTACAGCAAAGATCTTTCCCACCCCCTCCATACACAGAGTAGACAAGGATGGGCAACTTGGACATTGGCTACCCAAAGTTGAGGGGCTACAAAGGCCAAGAAGAGACTGGCTTACAAACTTTCAAGAGGGAGCCTAAATCCAGAGGGCATGGAGGAAGGTAGAATCTCCACTGAGTAGTATCCAATCTGTCTAGGTGGGGCTGATGAAAGGAAATGCAGATAGGTCTCTTGTGATACAATGGTGAATAATTGTTATCAGGACTGCCTGTGAGGGTTGGAAATGTAAAGGTAGACGTTTTGTGGAAGGGAGGGAAGTGATTCAGTTTTCAGTCTAGAAGCGGAGGTCCCTGGGACCATCAAGGTCGAGAAGACAGGAGAGCAGAGCCCTACCCAGAGAAGCAGTGACGCCAGAGATGTAGGTAGAGACAATGATGTGGAGAGATGGAATGGCTGGGGACTTTAGGCTCAGAGAGGGAGAGGGGCTGTGTGCTGACAACCGGGGGGCAGGCTTGCAGGGTATACCCTTTGGTTGGTTGATGATGCATGGCAATGAAATGATATACGATAGGATGAATGTAAAACTAATGTTCTCCCATGTAAACTATCACATAATTCACAATAAAACATTTTAAAAACGAGTGTGGGGGGGGGGAAGATAGAATCCCCACTGAATAGTTTTCATCTTGTCTAGATGGGTCTGGTTAAAAGAGATGGGGATAAGATTCTTCTGATTCAATAGTGAATAACTGTTATCATGACTAATAGGAATTGTCACAATCATAAAAGTAAAACTTTTGTAACAAAAACGGGGAAGTAGTTTATCTTACAGTCCAGAGACAAAGGACCCTAGGACCATCAAGGGAGAAGGGCACAAACGGAATGTGAGACCTTATCCAGAGATAGAAGCTGAAACGGGGACATGGAGAGAGGGAGCAGCTGAGGACTCTAGATTCACGGGAAGAGAGGGACTAAGAGATGGCAGCCAAGAAGCAGACTTGCAGAATGTGTCCTTTGGTGGTGTAAATTATTATATATGCCTGAGTGCTTTAAAAAAAAAAAAAAAAAGAGCTAACGTGAATAGAGAGAAATATTGTTAAATGATGGTAGATAGAGGGGATTATAATCATTGTAATGAAACAAGGTGTATGATTTGTTGAATGTAAAACTGATGATCTGCCCTATAAACTTTCACTCAATTCACAAAAAAAAACTTTTTTAAAATAAGAGATGCAATATGTATTGTATTCATAAAAACCTAGAAAACATTCTCCAAGCCCGTAAAGCTGAATTTTAACATTTATTGCTAATGAGTAACAAACCCAAAAAACAAACTTACAGTTCAAGTCAATTCTGACTCATACTGACTCGATATAGGATTTCTGAGGCTATAAATCTTTATGGTAGCAGATAACCTTATCTTTCTCCCAAGGAACAGCTGATGGATTTGAATTGCCAACCTTGTGGTTAGCAGTCCAGTGCTTATCCTACAGCGCCACCAGGGCTGCTTTAATGAGCAACAGTACTTGTATAATCAGAAGAAGCACGTCTCTCTGAAATAAATTCCTTCCAAAATCAGAGAGGAAATTTTATGGCGTCTTGCTACTTTCTCTCCCGGCTGACAAGAAAAACAAATTACATTTTCCTAATGAGAAAGCAGAAAAGCCTGTATTAAAAATAGAAAATTACCTTTGCCTAAATCATAATAGGGGTCCTGATAAGATGCTATGGATAAGCACTGGGTTGCTAATTGTACGGCTGGTGGTTCAAAGCCAGCTGTTACTTGAAAACCCTATACAGAGTTCCAATGAGTTGGCACCAACTCAATGGCACTTAATGACAACAACAACAAATCACAATAAAATTAATAAAATGATCTCACTATAAGTTGCTGCTAAGAGTCTCTTTCCAGTCAGAGCACAGCTCTGTACCTTTGTTCTAGTCTTTCAGACGTAAAGCAACAATTTTACTGCAATTGCAGTGGAACTCACCTGAATCCACAGAAATGTTCAGAACCACAAATGGATACTGGTGTCGATTGTACATGTGATAGACCTCATTCACAAGCCTGGAGACCTACACAAAAAAGGTTTGAAAAGACTAAGTGGAGACTTAGCCCAATGTTCTAACAACTTGCTATTCTAACCAACCAACAAAAGGAAACATTTTTAACTACTTTATACACCCAAACCAAACCCACTGCAGTTGAGTTGATTCCAATTCATAACGACCCCAATGTGACAGAGCAGAGGGTTTCCTAGACTAGAATCTTTACAGGAGAGAATTGCCAGGTCTTTTCTCCTGCAGAGCAGCTGATGGGTTTGAACTGCTCACCTTTCAGCTAACAGCCACCCAAGTGCTTAACCACTGCACCACTAGAGCTCCTATTTAACAGCTTTATTGAAATATAATTAGCATATAAAAGTCCCACATATTTAAAGTGTATAATTTGATATATTTTGACATACACATTTATATAATGGTGAGACTGTCCTCACAATCAAGATAATGAACACAACACAACCATTGTCCCCAAAAGTTTCCTCATGCTCCTCAATGGAGTACATTAGTAATGGATTCCTAAAGCTGAATCTTGTTCCATTCTAAACAAGCTCTTGAAGAAGTTTCAGTAACATACAGGAGCAGTTTCAATGTTTATAAATTCTACACATTCAAATGCACACAGAGATTTATTTATATGAGTTTGTAATGAGATTACTAAATGGCATTATTGGAAAATCATAAAGTCTACATGAATTACAAATACAGTTTAAAAAAAGGTAGACGTGAAACCACATCTGATGAACAGAAGAGAATTGTATGGTGTCCCAGGAAAACAGAAAATACTGAGGTATATAGTAGCTGACTATGCAAACTCAAAATGGATCCACATCTAACTGTGTCAGAGAGGACCAATTTGACTTTAAGGCAAAATGAATCTGAGTCATTATTTTTCTGAAAAACAAATACGAGGATACATGAAGTCGAAAAAATTGTATAGTACATGTCACGAAGTAAATTATGTCCCCCAAATATATGAGCATGCGTTGTAAATCCTGACCCTTAAGACTTGTGGTTAAGAAACCCTGGGTGGCACTGTTTGTTAGGTGTTGGGCTGCTAACTCCAAAGTCAGAGGTTCAAACCTACCAGCCACTCTGTGGGACAAAGATAAGACTGTCTGCTCCCATAAAGAGGTACTGTCTTGAACACCTACACAGGGTCAATGAGTCACAGCCAGCTCCATGGCAGTGGGCTTGGGTTTGGACTTACACTTGGCCAGGGGTTTCTGTCATGTTAGGATGGCAGTAGCAATACTCCCTCCTGTTAGGTGTGTCTTCAAACCGTTTGTTTTGAGATTTAAATGAGATAAAAAGCAGCAGATTAAGCAAGAAGAGATGGAGGAAGGAAGACTCCAGGCAACATGAAGATCACCAAGGAGCCAAGACAAAGCAGCTGAGAAAGAGACAAAAACCTTCTCCCAGAGCAAAAAGAGAGAGCCCTCCCCTGAATTCAGATGTCTACCCTCCTAAACTGTGAGAACGTACATTTCTTTTCATGAAAATCACCCAGTTGTATTTCTGTTATAGTAATTTGTTGTTGTTATGTGCCATGGAGTCGGTTCCGACTCACAGCGACCTTACACAGGGTTTCCAAGGCTGTCAATTTTTACAGGAGCAGACCGCCTCATCTTTCTCCCACGGAACCGCTGGTAGTTTCGAACTGCTGACCTTGTGGCTCACAGCCCAATTCGTAACCACTACACTACCAGAGCTCCTTTGTTATAGTAATACTATACATTATTATTTGGCACTGTGGGCTAATGTGTCAGACTGCAAAACCGTTTGAACTGCAAGGTCGGTGGTTCAAGCTCACTAGTTGCTCCTCGGAAACCCTATACAGGGTCGCTATGAGTTGGAACCTACTCAACAGCACTTAACAACAACAACAATACTACATAACTAAGTCAGGTGGCACTGAGTCAGTACCATCTCATAGCGACCTTATGCACAACAGAATGAAACACTGTGCCAACCTCACAATCGTTCCTAAGCTTGAGCCCACTGATGCTGCCACTGTGCCAATCCATCTCATTGGGGTCCTTCTTCTCTTACTCCGACCCTCTACTTTACCAAACATGCTATCCTTCTTCAGGGACTAAGACAATAGATATATAAAAATGCCAAAAATAATTTTAAAAACCCTGTTTCTAAGTGAAAATCCCAAGTTCCATGTAGCCTTTCTGTATTGGTAAAGGTTATTACATAATGAATAAAGAAATCAAAAGCTAAGCCCAGAAGTAAATCCATGCACTTATGGACAGCTGGTCTTTAACAAAGGACCAAAGTGGGCGAAGAGATAGTTTCTTTAATAAATGGTGTTGGCAAAACTGGATATCTATTTGCAGAAATATGACAAGATCCATCCCTTACACCACACATAAAAATTAGTTCAGAACGGAGCAAAGACCTACATGCATAACCTAAAACCATAAAGTTCACGAAAGGAAGAAAATATCAGGAAAAACCTAGGAGTCCTCATTTATGGCATAAACAGAATGTCAAACATAATTAAAAATGCAAAAAACAACAGAAAATAAACTAGACAACTGGGATCTCCTAAAAATCAAATACTTTTACTCTTCAAAAGTCTTCACCAAAAGAGTTAAAAATGAATTTATAGACTGGGAAAAAAAAAAGGCACTGACATATTAGGGCAAAGACCAAATCTCTAAAATTTATAGAAAATGTCAATATCTCAACAACAAAGACAAAACAAACCAATTTCAGTTCTAACTCATAGAGACCTTGTACAGGGTTCCCGAGGCTGTAAATCTTTACGGGAGCAGAAAGCCTCATCTTTCACCTGTGGAACAACAGGTAGTTTTGAACTGCTGACCCTGAGATTAGCAGCCCGATTCGTAACCACTACGCTACCAGACCTCCTTCCTTTAGCCATTAGAGAGATGCAAATCAAAACTATAATGAGACATCCTCTCATCCCAGCAATAATGGCACTGATATAAAACAAAATAAAACAAAAAAAAAAAAGAGATGAAGACGTGGGGAGATTGGAACACTTACACACTGCTGGTAGAACTGCAAAGTGGTACAACTATTATGGAAAACAGTACATGTGCTTCCTTAAAAAGTGAGAAACAAAAATACTATACAATTTAGCACACCCACTACTAGGTATATATCCTAGAGAAATAAGAGCTGTGATACAAATAAACATGCACACTCATGTTCATCACATTGTTCACAATACCAAAAAGATGGAAACAACCCAAGTGTCCATCAACGAATGGATAAACAAACTGTGGTACATACATGCAATGGAAAATGATAAACAATAAGAATCTGCAAACCGTCTCCCAACATGGATGAATCCAGAGGACATTATGCTAAAATAAGTCAAATCACAAAAGGACAAGCAATGTAGAAACCACTATTAGAAAAAGTGACAAATAAGTTGATAAAAAGAAAAAAAAATTCTTTGATGGCAAACAGGGATGGGAGGAAAAGAAAAATCACTAACTAGATAGTTGTTAAGTGGAATTGAGTCAGTTCTGACTCACTGTGACCCTGCATAGGGTTTCCAATGAGTGGCTGCTGAGTTTGAACCACCAACCCTGTGGTTCAAACCAAACTTGTAGTCTAGTGCTTATTCTATAATGCCACACCAGGACTCCAAACTAGATAGTAGGAAGCCAGCATAATGTGATCAAGGCAAAGGAAGATACTCAGAGGCACCCAAGAGTAAAAGACAACTTCGTAAATCTGGTAGCGTAGTGGTTACGAGTTGGGCTGCCAATCTCGAGGTCAGCAGTTCAAAACTACCAGCAGTTCCACGGGAGAAAGATGTGTTCTGCTCCCGTAAAGATTTACAGCCTCAGAAACCCTGTCCAGGGTCACTACGAATCAAAACTGACTCCATGGTACTTAACAACAATAAATGGTAAATCATGGGAGTGTGGTGGCTGGTAGGATAAGTGCTGGACTGCAAACCACAAAGTCACAGGTACAAGCCCACCAGCTGCTCCAAGGGAGAAAGATGAGGGCTTCTACTCCCAGAAATATTTACAGTCTCAGAAACCCTACACAGGTTATCTAAGAGTCAGAACTGGCTTGATGGCATTAAACAACAAATGGCAAATGTGTTAACAAATATAATCCAGCAACAGCATTAATAATGAACAATAATTTGTGAGTAAATGCGTACGTAAATATGTACGTGAAATAGCTGAGAGAAGTCATACAGGGATTGAAACCAACATCAGGGAACAATTTGTAGATGAATTATTCATCAAAAATTTGCTATGAAAACTCTTACCTAAACCATAATAAAGTGTTCAAAAAGAAAAAAAACAACAACACATATTTTCAGATACCTTTGCTGGATCACAAGGCCGCTGATTGATAAAGAAAAATTGTCTCTCAGTTGAACTCCTTCCAACACCATGCGTGCAGTTTGAGATGAATCCTGAGATACTGTTCAGTGTTAACATAGTAAGGGAGGATTTCAGAGTAGAGAAGATTAGGAACACACAACATATGGCACATTCTTAAAATACAATACAATTAAAAACTTCTGCTGACCTGCCAATAAGTAAGGCAGTCTGCGGCATACAAGGTATCCACTTAAAGACAAACCAGACTTAAGGCCATCTTTTTTTTTTTTTACATCTTATTGTTACAAGTAGTTCTGACTTACCATACATTGCAAATCTCTGCTTTTAATTTTTTTTGGTCTATCTTATTGCCAGTGGTGGTGGTGGTTATATGCCGTGGAATTGATTCAGACTCACAGAGACCCATTATAGGGTTTCCGAGCCTGTACATCTTTACGGGAGAAAGCCTCATGTTCCTCCTCTTACTGCTAGTAATATGTACTGAATATAACACCGGAGCACGTAATTCACTGTTATTTTCCTATGTCCACTTACAAATGATCAATGCTAGGATTTGTAAAAATACTGATGAAGTCCAAAAATAGGGCATTCAACTTATGCCAGAGTAATGTACCATGGAGTTGTTGGAATGGAACCCCATTTGGAAACTACTATATTAATATTTCAGTTCACGTGCATCTGTGTGGCAGTCTGGTGAATCATAAAAGGAACACTGACCCCCCAGAATGCTCTAAACCAAAAAACCAAACCCGATGTTGTCAAGTCAATTCTGGCTTGACCCTCCATAGAACTGGCCCATAAGGTTTCCAAGGCTGCAAATCTTGACCAAAGCAGACTGCCACATCTTTCTCCTGAGGAGCAGCTGATGGATTCCAGCTGCCAAGTTTTGGTTAGCAGGTGAGTGCTTAATCACAGAAGCACCAGAGTTCCTGTCCAGAAGGCTCTATGCTTCCCAGTCAACAAATGTCCTCCAGACAAAGTCAGGGCTCATTGCTGATCCAGCTCACCTGTCCTCGCCTCTGTTCAGTCCTCCGTCCTGAATGCAGGGGAGGGTTTCTCCCCAAGCTCACATTCTCAACACCTGCCTGCCATCCCCTTAGTTCTCCCCAGCTGTCTAACCATTGGTAGTCAGGACCCTAGCCCACAAGCTCTGCCCTTTCAAAATCTGCTCTAAGTTCAACTTTTTTGTTGTGGTGGTTGTTGTTGGGTGCCATTGAAACCATTTTCGACTCATGGGGAACAGAGTGGAATTGCCCTATAGGGTTCTCTAGGCTGTAATCTTTACAGAGCAGATTACCAGGCATTTCTCCCATGGAGAAGCTGATAGGTTCGAACTCCTGAACTTTAAGGTACAAGCACTTAACCGTTGTTCCACCAACGCTCCTTTGCGGTATTGGTAAAGTGCGTACTCCACAGGAGATCCAGTCTAGGGATACTTAACGCTTACAGAAGAATAATGTCTGAATTAACGTAGAGACCTGAATCTCCATCTATGTAATCTCAGGCAAGTTCAAGGGACACAAAGTAATTCACATAGAGACCTGAGTCTCTATCTGTGTAATTTCAGACATCAGTCAAAGACAAGTTCAGGGGATACTAAAAGTACTAACACCAGACTGCATTTTGGGTAAAGCACGAATGGAAGAAAATCCATTCTCTACTGCCTTCTGCTAATTCCCAGTAAAGTGACACATTACACACAAAATCATCAAAAAGTGATTCTAACTGCTCACTAAACCACATTTTCCTAAGAAGACTAACTCCAGAGTTGTTAAGTGCTGCTGAGTTAGTTCCGACTCACAGCAACCCTTTATAGGATTTCCAAGGAGTGGCTGGTGGTAAAGTCCAGAAATGTCTCAATGACCCAGAATACTGTATGGATGAAGTAACTGAGTTCTTGATATAAACTCTCTTTCTCAGCCCTAATACTTTCCAGAGTTCTGTAATGGACAGAAGCAGCGATAAGATTTAAAATCACTATCTTGGGCTTTAAAAAAAAAAAAAAAAGAAAAGAATGCTATACTGAAAATTTCTTGGCAGCCATCTACTTACCGAAACAGATTTTGTGGAACTTCAGAGAAGTGTAGACCATACTCTTCACAAACAGATTCACTAGGGGCCCGCTGGACAAAAGGAATGAGACTTTGCAGCTAGAAGACACCAAGATGCACAGTCATTTCTTAACAAAGACAGAGTGGATCTGACTTTACAAAGGAAGCTGAAATAAAGGGTTTTATTGAAGGGAGGTTTTTCTCATGTAATGCAACTGATCTACATGAAGACCTCAGAGAAACTCAAAGAATCTTGATAGCTGAATTTTGAAATAATAATTTTTTTAAAAGAAAGAAAGATAAAAGATTGGGTCAACACCTGACCCAAAACACTTTCTATCTGTTCAGATCAAAAGCAAAAAGAAACATCATTTTGTTTCTGTTGCTGTTGTTAAGTGCTGTTGAGTTGGTGCTGACTCACTGCAACCCAGTATAGGGTTTCTGAGGAGCTACTGGCAAGTTTGAACCGCTGACCTTCTGGTTCAAACCAACTTTGTAGTTCTGCACTTATCCTACAGTGCCACACCAGAAGTCCAAGAAGAAGACAGGTTTCCCTGATTGGGAAGGATAAAAAGGGACAAACATTCAGCTTTCAACCATGAAGTCATTTTTGTGACAGATATATAACAGAAATTAAGTCTTAGATTTTATCCTATAAGTCTCATTCCTTGAAAAGGACAAGAAATAAAACTATGAGTTGGAACCAACTCCACAGCACAGAACAACAGACATACTAAAGCAGTAAGATGTTTTCCAAAAACTCGCTACCACTACCTGTTTCTGCCCAAACACAGATCCGATATTTTCCTTCATGTGGGAGTTTCCACTGGTGCAAACCACAGGCTGCCGTTTTCCTTGTCCAACTTGATTAGTGCAGTTTATACGGATGCCTGCTGAGATGATACAATACGCATGCAAAATCTGGACCATTTTGGCATACTCCTATTTAAAAATAAAAACAAAAACACAAACACAAGACTGAACATTATTTCAATCTTCCAAGAATGACAGGCTTCAAATGTTGGCATCTAATTTACGGTTCTCATATCCACCTAAAATATGGAGAATTGTTACTAAAAGAATGACCCTTTAAGAAGTATCTCTCGACAATGTATGAAATGGAATTCAAGGACTTCGGCTCCCAGTCACTTTATCTTGTTTCCAAAAGGTGCATGCCCACAGTAATCAAAACGAAAATGACATGGCTTCTGATCTTGTGGGCGCTCCTAGCAATGCAGCCTTGTAAAAAAGCAACCACAAGTGTACTAAAATATATCACAGAAATGTTCACTAATTAATTTAACCACTGCCTATCTCTCTAGCAATGGCATGGGAAAGAATAATGTAGTGCAAACTGACTAAAAATGATACTTACGATATGCTATGCAAAAAGTCAGATTATACAGAGCATTACATATAATATTAACATAATTGTTTATTTATTGTTGTTGTTAGGTGCCATCAAGTCGGCACCGACTCAGCGACCTTATGCACAGCAGAACGAAACAATGTCCAATCCTGGGCCAACCTCACTACTGTTGCCACACTTGAGTCCATCAATGCTGCCACTTGGCCAATCCATCTCGCTGGGGGTCTTACTCTTTTTCTCTGACCCTCCACCTTACCAAACATGATAGCCTTCTCCAGTGACTATTCCCTCCTGACAATATGTCCAAAGTATGAGAGACGAAGTTTGGCCATCTTGGCCTCTAAGGAGCACTCTGGCTGCACTTCTTCCAAAACAGATCTATTGGTTCTTTTGGCAGCCCATGGCACTTTCAATATTCTCCTCCAACACCATAACTCAAAGGCATCAATTCTTCTACAGTCTTCTTTATTCACTGTCCAGCTTTTGCATGCATATGAGGTTATTGAAAATACCATGGCTTGAGTCAGGTGCACCTTAGTCCTCAAGCTGATATCTTTGCTCTTCAACACTTTAAAAAGGTTTTGTGCAGCAGATTTGCCTAATGCAATATGACGTCTGATTTCTTGACTGCTGATTCCGTGAGTGTTGATAGTTGATCCAAGAAGAATGAAGTCCTTGACAACTTCAATCTTTTCTCTAATTGTTTATTAGCACCTCCCCCCAAAATTATATTGTTTAATTGTCACTGTTGTTGTTAGGTGCAGTTGGATCAGTTCCATACGACACAATGCACAAAAAGAACAAAACACTGCCTGGTCCTGCACCAGCATCACGATTGTTACACATGAAAACCAAACCCATTGCCACGAAGTTGATTCTGACACACAGATGTGATGTTGCTATTGTTAATTGCAATTGAATCAGTTTCAACTCACAGCGACCCTGTATAGGGTTTTCAAGAAGCAGCTGGTGGATTTGAACTGCTGACCTTGTGGTTCATTTGCTGCTGTTGTTAAGTGCCCTAAGTGCCCTCAAGCCGGCTCTAACTCAGTGACCCTGTACAGGGTTTCCAAGGAGCAGCTGGTGGGTTTGAAATGCCGACCATGTGGTTGGCAGTCCAGTGCTGATCCTACGGCCACACACCAGAAGTCCTGTGGTTCAGAGAACAGAGAAAATCTGTCTCATAGGGTTTCCAAGGCTGTAATCTTTACAGGAGACTCTTGAGGTGTTGTAGGATAAGCACTGGACTGTTAATCATCAAAAGGTCTGTGATTCAAACCCACCAACAGCTCCTTGGAAACCCTACACAGGGTTGCTGTGAGTTGGAACAGACTGGATGGCACTTAACAACCACCTCTATGGGAGGAGACTGCCACGTCTTCCTCCCAGAGTAGTTGGTAGGTTCAAACCACTGACCTTTTGTTTAGCAGCCAAGTGCTAATCACTGCACCATGAAGACTCCTGAATAAAACAGTTACATAGAATAGTTCCAATGGCTACAACCAAACAAAAATAAGGATAAGTATAAAGATGGTCTATACATGGACATATTTAACGGATTGTTGTTGTTGTTAAGTACTGTCGAGTAGGTTCCGACCCACAGCGACCCTGCATAGCGTTTCTGAAGAGAAGCTCGTGAGCTTGAACCACCAACCTTGCGGTTCAAACAGCTTTGCAGTCTGGCGCATTAACCCACAGCGCCACACCAGAAACTCCATTTAAAAGGTTAAGGATACAAATCAAACTCTAGGGGGTTTTCTACTTCCTTCCATATACAACTTTCTGCTACTTATGATTCTACAGTACTTGGATGCACTGCATTCCATATGACTTGGTTTGACTGTATTCAATTATTTATCTTGAAATCTTTTCCAATAATTATAAGCACATGAAACTAAAGGGAGTCTGATTCCCATTGACCTGGAGATGAGAGAAGAGGAAGGGCTGGTTGGTCAGAAGTGTGGTGAAACCTGGGGACTCCTGAGCCCACGGACAAGGAGATAGCCACAGAGGGCTAGAACTGAAAGTGACGCGTCCAGCTGATATAAAGTGAGGGGAGACACACAAGCATGGCCAAGCTTGCAGACAGTACCCATTTGACCTAGCCTCGATGGCTTGATAATCAGAACTCGACTAGAGGAAAATAAAAAATAAAAAATTTTTGATAAAGGAAACTGCTACAATTTGATGAACTTGACCTATACTTATGGATGTGTTGTTGTTATTGTTAAGTGCCGTCGAGTCGGTTCCGACCCATAGCGACCCTGTACAGGGTTTCCGAGGGTGTAAATCTTTACGGGAGTAGAAA